TAGAGCAAAAATTTAATTGAAGGCTAAAATGCATTGCTATCGCAAATGATGAGGGGAGTCTGTATAGGCCTGTCATATCTTTTTTTTTTGAAAGAATCATTTCCACATAGTATAATGAAATAGAACTGATTACTTGGAAAATGACATATGAAAAAAAAGCTGTTCTGGAGTTGAGTTTAAGATAAGTTTAAGTCCATCTCAGGAGCATGCCCATTAGGTTAGTTATGGAATCGAGGGAAAACAGAATGATGTGAGTTCAGATGTCTTTGATGAGCTGTATTATTTAGAAAATAACAAATTAACATTCAAAACTGCTGTTGATTTTTTGAAATCTCTTAACTTTAATGAAAATATTGACATGAAAAATCATCAGATAAAAAAATGCTCAAGATGGTGTTGGAAATGATACTGTGAATATCAAACAGTTGAATGAATTTGAAAATGATCTTGTACAATTTTTCAGAAGAGAAATGCAACTAAAATTGATCCTTTGAATAAAAAAATTACTGAACTAACAACAAAAGTATACACTGTTGAAAGACAACTTGCTAAAGTGGCATTACATGATGAGGTGATGAAAAGAATATTCGAATTATATTTCACAGACTCCATTCAAAATATACGAGACAACAAATGGTAGGAATTTCCCGGTTAGTGCTTCAAACCACTTTTTAACGCCAACAGAAGGGCGACCCCCCCTAAAGAAACAATAGAAGGAGCCTGGGTATACCCACAGGGCCCTGGGACCTAGATCTTGTGGTCCTATGATGCTTTGGTGGCTTTTTTCCTTGTACTTCAAACCATTCGTATAAGTATTTTGTTTTGCCCTGCTTTTCTTACAAATTCTAACCGTTTTTTAGGCTTTACCTCTGCGTTTTTACACAGTAGGTTTCTTTTAGGTGATATCTGTTGCTTTTCAGGATATTTAAAATCGCTGAACATGTCCCAAAGAAGACACTAGTCATGTAAAACGACTGGCTCACAGTCGCCATCTTCCCGCCAAAACTCTGTTTCATCGCCTGACGTACATCATGAAGGGTCCCCGCCGAAATGGCACAAGGACGAAAACAATTTCTTTCAGAAGATTCTGCAGTTGACTGAACGTCTTTTCAATCGAATAGACTCGTTAGAGTCCTGAGCAAATCAGCCCGAAACTATTGCAGATACTGATGATGATGCTTTGTCGATTATGGCTGGTGAAACGTCAGGCTTGGAGATTANTCAATCGAATAGACTCGTTAGAGTCCTGAGCAAATCAGCCCGAAACTATTGCAGATACTGATGATGATGCTTTGTCGATTATGGCTGGTGAAACGTCAGGCTTGGAGATTAGCAAAGCTTCGGCAACGGAAGTGTCCTTTGAGACTGCTACTACGCCCATTGAGGCACCCGTAGAGCCTATTAAGGCACCTGTAGAGCCTATTCAGGCACCCGTAGCGCCTACTAAGGCACCAACAGAGTCTGGTAAGACATCTGACAAAGCTGAAAACTCAGCAAAATCTAGTGATGATCATGGGCTGCTTGACCCAGTTGCCAAGTCAACCTCTTGGAAGCCATCAGCTTCTTTCTCCAAGTTTCTGGATAATAATTTTCGGAGAAAATTATCTTTTATGTTACAAGCAGTCTCTTGTTATTTTGGATGACTGGGCAACTCCTGAAGTGGATGCTCCCTCTGCTCCAAGACTCGATCAATAATTGTTGAATAAAGTACCATTTAAAATGAAAAAGTTCAAAAGAAAGGGATAAGGAAATGTTTAATGTTCAGAGTGCTTTCTTATTTGCCACGTGCCCACTTTGTGGCCTTCATGATTGTATTGAAAATGATTCAGCTCCATCTTATGAGGAAATTAAAGTAGCTTTGGAGCAAGCTCTTTGCCTTTTAGGCTCAAACAATGCTCAGCTGTCTATCCTGAGATGACAGAGAGTCCTCGCAGCCATAAACCGTTTGGGGACAAACCTCCCGGAATTACCTCTGCCTAATGCAAAATCATGGCTATTTGTAGATTATTTCCCCTCCTTGGCCTCAAAACAGGCCGAGTTGTCAAGGGGTCTCACAAAAAATGTGGCACAAACTACAGGGGAATCCTTTTCTAGGCGTAGTAATATATCTCAGTCTCAAAGCAGACATCGAGAAGACATCTTTAACAAGTATCAATCCACTGGGT